TTCTAGGTATAGAATAACATATTATCTGCCAACAGTGATAATTTGACTTCATCCTTTCCTATCTTTATTACTTTTATGTTCTTCTTTTGCCTAATTGCTCTGGCTAGAATTTCCAGCACCATATTAAATAGAACTGGTAAGAGTAGACACCCTTGTATTGTCGCAGATTTTAAAGAAAATGTTTTCAGYTTTTTTCCTACTTACTATGAGGCTGACCTTTGAGTTTTTCCATATATAGCCTTTATGATGTTTAGGTAGGTTCTATCCCTGGTTTTTTCAATGTTTTTATCATGAATGGATGCTGAATTTTGTCAAAGGCCTCTGCATCTATTGAGATAACTAAGAGATTTTTGTATTTAATTCTATTTATGTGATGAATTACGTTTATTGATTTGTGTATATTAAACCATCCTTCTATCTCTAGAGTAAAACCAACTTGGTCATGGTGTACAATCTTTTTAATATGCTGTTGAATGATATTTGGTAATATCTGATTAAGTTATCTGTCTATAGATTTTTTTTTTCCTTGATGTATCTTTATATGGTTTTGGTATGAGTGTGATAGTGCCTTCATAAAATGAATTTGAAAGTGTTCCATTCCCTAATGTTTCACGGAATACTTTGAGGCATACTGGCATTAATTCTTCTTTAAAGGTTTGGTAGAATTCAGTTGAGAATCCATCTGGTCCTGGGATTTTCTTTGTTGGAAGGTTTTTAATTACTGCTCCTATCTCATTACAAGTTATTGGGTTGTTCAGGTTTTCTATGTCCTCTCGATTCAGTTTTGGCAGACTGTATTTATCTGGAAATGTATCGTTTCTTCTAGATTTTCCAAAATTAGAGTATGAGTTTTCAAAAATAGTACCTAATGATCTGCTGGACTTCTGTGATGTCTGTGGTTATTTCTCCTTTATCAACTCTAGTTTTATTATTTTGGTTTTTTTTCTCTTTCTCTAATAGGGAGCAATTTTTAAGAGTGAGGTTTTTTGCCAGGTATCCTGACACAATCCCAGCAACTTTGAGGCTGAGGCAGGAGAATTCAAAATTCAAGGCCAGCTTCAGCAATTTAGTGAGGTCCTAAGCAACTTAGTGAGACCCTATCTCAAAAATTAAAACAAATAATAAGGGCTGGGGATGTAGCTCAGTGGTAGAGTATCCTGGGCTTAATCCCATTTCCACCYGCTCCCAAAAGAGCAAGGTTTCCTTTATCAAAAGGTAATCATACAAAAAGATTTTTTAGCAAGTTTTATCAAGCAAAATCTTCATGCTTTGGAATTTAAAATACAACTTTCCCATAGCATCTGGTACATTTATCTCAGAAACAGAAAATACTGGAATTCCTCCAATTCAATTCTTCTCACAGGACAATCAATTTTCAAAAAGTGCACTATGATCCTTCCACTGAAGTCTTTATGTAAGGAAATGAGGGGCGGAGGGGACAGGGTCAAGACCAGTCTGAGCAACTCAATGAGACCCTGTCTAAAAATAAAAAACACCAAAAGGCCTCAGAATGTAGCTCAGTGCTTAAGCACCCATGGGCTCAATCYCCAATATTAGAAAACAAATAAATCCCTGCCTTTATTACTCTCTAAATTAGAATTACTTAATCCCTACCCTTCGAAAATGCAAAATAAAAAGAGCACTACAGGAATCCAGCACAATAAGCCTGCTGAACTCATGAGACTGCTCTTCAGCAAATTACATACTTATAAACACTCTCCACAGTTTTTWAAGTCACTGTAAAAAATACCAAGAAGCATTTGGCTATCATTAATAACCTCACAAATGAAGAACAGGATACAAAAAAAAAGATAAATGCTTCTCCTAGAACAACAAAACAATTTAAGGAGAGAATGAAAATATAAATAATTTCCAAATTTTAGTATTACGGTTATAAATATCACAAAAAAAATCATTTCTGAAAATGTCTACAGACGAAAATTATTTCATTAAATAGGCCATTTTAAAAGTTTTGATATTACTTTAAGTTTTATATCCTTTAAAAGATTTTTCACAAAAACAAACAGTAACATATGTTCTCCATACCTTCTGAACTCCTGATAAATCTTTCTTCATTCCAGTGACAGTTTGATATAGAATCTTAAAAAAAAAAAAAGAGAGAGGGAGAGAGAGAATTTTAATATTTTATTTTTTAGTTCTCGGCGGACACAACATCTTTGTTTGTATGTGGTGCTGAGGATCGAACCCGGGCCGCACGCATGCCAGGCGAACGCGCTACCGCTGAGCCACATCCCCAGCCCTTGATATAGAATCTTACAACCAAAAGGAATAAAAAACCGGAATCAACATAAAACTAGACAGTGATATATATATATATACACACACATATTGCCTTACTAAACACCATGGACTAAATGGTTTCTTTTGTGATAATAAAAAAGTACTTAAAATTCACCTCATAGCAACACAGAAAGTATATTACATGAGTAACATGGGTAATATTCTTATCCACCAGATATCTCAAGCCCAGAGGTCAAATCCAACCAGTTATCTGGTAGTTATGAGAGATAAATATTTGCAATCAACCTGACAACAGCAAATAATAACTTTGATTTGAATCCCATTAAGTGAAATGTTATCTTTTCCCCTCAATTCCATTCTTCTTTCATTAATAGATCTATAGTAAAAAAAAAGGTGGATTTAATTCTTATTAMAGTGTTTTTAATATCACAAATAAAAATCCAGGGACTATTTATTTTCACTTGTTATAAAAAGACCTACATATATTTTGCTTCGTAGCTGGCAAAACTTAAAATATTTACTATTTTGATTCTTTAGTAAAAAAATTTTTCTAAAATATGTTAAGGAAATATATATGTTAATGATCTAATAAACTTTCATAGCCTAGACTTCTATATGATTCTTTTTTTTCTAATTATAATCTGTTGGACTCATTCAAAAGTGTCACTCCCTCTCAAATATCAATCAAATTCCCTTTATATCCAATATGTAGAGAAGACATGTTCAAAAACATTCAAGATTAGAGGAACTCAATCTGTTTGGGATAGTCCCCTTCTTCTTTAGACCTGCTTGCTATATACAAACCACACTGCTCACATTGTCCTGTTGAGCGTTCATGGCCATGTCCTCTTCCTTCAGCTTCATCATTATATCCATATCCCTCTCATAATTTTTTACTTCATTCAAGGTTCTAGGAATATATGCACGCTTGAACACCTAAGAGAGGAGATAAGCAAAATAGAAACTATTATTCATATACTTTTCACATTCACTCAGCATCCTTATCACCATCAAGTCATGGAGGAATCTATTCTCAGACATGYTGTCTAAAAACATTGGTRTTGGGCTGGGGATGTGGCTCAAGCGGTAGAGCACTCGCCTGGCATGCATGCGGCCCGGGTTCGATCTTCAGCACCACATACAAAGATGTTGTGTCCGCCAAAAACTAAAAAAATAAATATTAAAATTCTCTCTCTCTTTAAAACAACAACAAAAAAAAACCCCACTGGTATTGCATCTGCCATGTGATGTGCCAAAATGTGTTACTAATGAAAAAACACTACATTTTGCATATGATTTATCTTAAGGAAGAATTATAGCTGATTCAAGGTTATCCTTCAAATAACATTTCTCTTGTTGCATCCCAAACAGCTCTTCTGAGTAGGAAGGAAAGGGATGAACTACAGTTAGAAGCACTACCTGGCTGTGCCTTACAAAGGAACATGTTCTTACATGGGAAGATCACCTACCTGGCTTCTACAGTGAAAACAGGTTTAGAACTGCTGAAGAGAGGGTACCTCATATTCAACTATCACATTAAGACCTGCAAGAATTAGGCCTCAGGATGTGACACAAGTGGGAATTCCTTTAGCCAATGCTCTAGCCTCATTCACCACCAAAAATGTCATGAAGGGGCCTCATGAAAGCAATAAAT